CCCCCCCATCCAGGCCTTGTCAACAGACCCTTGGATGAGCTGCAGGGATTCCCACAACTCAATTCTAGCTCCTTTAGAACATCCAGAATAGAAAGGAAGCATAGACTTCCTTATCCATAAATTTGAGACTAAAATGTAAGATTTGGGAATGGTTAAGTAGGATAGAGCACTGCATTTCTTTCCTACAAAAAACCCAAATTTTTTTGTTGAATCCAGGGAAGACTTTAGCAATTTTCAATGTGTTGAGGTGAACCATAGGTTCCAAAATGGCAACACATCAAAGTTTGTGCTTCTTATTCAGATATTTGAGTCTTTTCAGAGATAGGGGGTGGGCAATCCCCCTAATGTTCCAACATAACAAACTAATCATAGGGAAGGGGGAGAAGAGTAAGGTTGGGACTTGGACCTAGTCCTCCCTCTATATTTGTTTGAACCCATTCTTATCTGATTAGCATTGACCTCCAAACCCTGAAGCTCCTTTCCTTTCCCAAGGTCTTGTCCTTCTTCTTTATAATTCTTTTTCTTCTTAGTTTTCTGGATTTTTCACTCTAACTCCAGCTCTTTGTTCATGTCTTCTACTAGTTTCTGACAAGGGGGTTCCACCACTGGATTCATCACATTTCTAGGAGGAGGGGAGGTAAACACTTCCCCCACTGACTCAGACTTTGGATGGATCTCTATTTCTTTATCCTTTGTAGTTATTTGGCCAACTACTTTGCTGCCACCTCTCTCTGTCTTCTCCACACAGTGAGGGTCCATTTGAGTGGGGGGCTTCTCATTCCCTACAACATACACTGTCTTCTTTTGCACTTCTGTATTCCAAGTTTCTTGGATATTGTTAGTGGCATCCTCCTACTCCTGCTGAGGTTGGTGGTGAGTTCTTCTAATGGGAGGTTTCAATCTGTAGCAATCATCCCTATTATGTCCAAACATTTTGCAATGTTGGCAGTAGTGAGGCCTTTGCTCCATGATGACTTCTTGTCAAAAACCTCTCTGAGTGTCCCCAATCCATATTCTCTTAACATCAGGGAGAGTGACATCTATTTCCACTAAGATTCTTGCTATGGCTGGTCTTGCCTTGTTAAAAGTAGCAGCATCAACCTTCAAAGGTGTACCCAAGGTGCACCCTATATTGAACAAAGCATTCCTTTTAAATAAATGCAAAGGCAGCTTAGGTAGCTTAAACCAAATAGGCACTGTGGGAGGTTCTTATGATGTATCATAATCAGGTGACCATTTTAATATTTTTATTTCTGTTCCAGCAATTATGATGGATTTCTTTGCAAAAATTCTGGCATAGCCCTCCTCTTTAGTCAGCTGGATTAGGAGGTGTCTACCATCCAACAGCCCTAGCTTCCATTCTGAAATCTTCAGGGATTCAAAGTATTTTCTGACTAGCTCCATCTTTAGATGTCCCAA